CAAGTCATGAGTTGAGTCAAGTCAGTGCCTCATTTATTGCCAAGCCAAATCAAATCATTGAAGTGACTTGAGTGAATCAATTAGAGTCGCCATCACTATTTTACCTATACCGCTCTTGTTTCCTTCTATCACACCTCCCCTTGTGTGTGTATGTGTGACTTCAAGTGGCCTGCCAACTTATGGTAACCCCACAAATTTCATAGGGTTTTCTTAGCCAAGGAAGGTGGTTTTGCATATAACCTCCTCTGAATTACAGCCTCCCCTTAGATGTGTCCCTGCCCTGGAATCAGAGAATGCCAACTCACGCATATTCCCTACAAGGAAATGCTATACAATCCCTGTTATCTTTTTTGGATACCCTTACAATACCATTTTTCCACCCTTACAATAAACAACATTTTAGAAAAAGAGCCAGCAGAACCACATATAGTTTCCCCAATGTGGCTGCAGTTTAAACATAGCTTCCAGTTGTCTCAATTTGGCAGGAAATATTCAGATTAATCCTCTGCCATCCCACTTTTTCAGTTGCTTTTAAAGTACAAAAGTGGCTTGCAGTCAATTAACTCCACAAAGGGAGAGAATCTTGCCCTTCCTTGTAAAGTCAGGCAAAAGCAAACTGCTACAGCCTCTCTTCCTTTGTGTTTTTTTTCCTCATTAATAACTCTTGTCATCTTGACCATACTCTGATGTTGCTTGGCCACATGCATCATGATTTTCATCTGTGAAAGGTTGGGAGGGTATGGTATCAATACTGGCTGTGTTATTTTCATCCTTATGCAAATTATCCCCAGATAAAACTTGCCTTTCTAATGACACCACATGCCAATGTTTTCAGTAATCTGAAAACTCTCACGGTTTTCCCATCTTAATATTTGTCATCATCATAACAGACACCAGAAAATATAGAGAATAGTATCATCAGAATATATGCCAACATATATGAGATATTAGTGGATTTGCCCCAATGTGCATCACTACATACTTCCGATGAACAATTTTCCCCACTTATTTTCCCTCACATATACAAAAAACAACAACAATGGGAATGAGAGAGAGAAAAAAGGAGAAAAAACCTTACCAACAATTCCAGATAAATAAAGGACTCTATTTACCTTCCTCCTTCATGGGAATGTCCATTTACCTTTCCCTTCTCCCCATGTAACCAGTTCCTAACGCATCCTTCATCAATTCCTTATTCAAGGACTATTGCATTTAATCACTTATGAGGGACCTCGTCCAAAGCAGTTTTGAACCTCTGACACTTTCAAAGAACATCAGAAGCTTTGGGAAACAAGACTTCCCTTTGCAGAACCATCCGCTGTTTCTGAATCACTCAGTGAAATGAAACTGGCTGTCAGTAAGTGCAGCAGTGACTAAAGGAAATTCTTCACAGAGAGCAGTGATAATTTATATCAGTCAGGACATGCTGATGACAACTCGTTTAGATGGCTTTTTAAAAATATATTAAATGAATTAATGGATTTCACTCGTGTGAAAAATATAATTCCTTTGGCCACTTTGCCTCTCTTGGAAACGCAGTTTAGGACAAGATGGAGCTCTAGTAAGGCAGCTATTGAACTCTTGCCAAAGAGCCCCAACAAACTCAGGCAGAGTTCAAAAATAAACACTATGGCACCGGTGTAAATTTAGACCAAAAACCCAAAACATGGCTCATCCAGATGCTTCCTTCCCTTAAATTATGCCTTGAAGCAGTTGTGCTCTGAATACAGAAATAAAATTAAGCATGAAGCACATGCCTGACAATATCATTTTGGAAAGTTTCTGACTATATCTCTGCAAATAATCATTTGAGGAAACCAACGAAATATTTATTTTGAGATTGTAGCATTTTCCACTTAAAATGGATACAAACATATTCCATTTCAGTTTCTCCAAAAACAGATGTAATATTTAAATCATATCTGCAGTGACAAGGATATAATTCATAGTAGTAGTTGTCGGGGGTATAAATGTTCTAGGCGTATTAACAGTACCAATGGTTTGGTTGAACAAGCCACAATTCTTTCGTTGGTATATGTATGACTTGTTGCTGTTATGCACCTTCAAGTCACAACCAACTTATGACAACCCTACTATAGAGGTTTCTTGGCAAGATTTAATCAGAGGTTTGCCACGGCCTACCTCTCAAATGCAGAGAAAATCTGAACACAGCTTAGTTTAATAAGTGGCTCTTGCTGGGCTGCATGCTCCATCTGTGCCCCATGCAATTAATATTTCACTTTCTATATCTCCTGCATCACAATATGAATGACACTGAACCAACAGCCCCCCCTTCCTAATGTCTGTCATGCAAATAAGAGACTGGGGGGGGGGGGTTGCAGACTGCCAGAAATAGTGCAAATTGAGTCCACTTTTAGGGTTAGGGAATCATGGGAACTGTATTTTATTGTGGCACCAGAGCTCTCTGACAGAGAAGGCTCAATGTCTCAGAAAAAAAAACAATTCCCATGATTCCCTAACACTAACACTAACCCTAAAAGTGGACTCAATTTGCACTATTTCTGGCAGTCTGCAACCCCTTTGGTGGCCTTCCAGCATGGGAACAGTGATTATGAAATTTGAATGCCAGTAAATTATAAGGCATTCCTACTTCTAGCACCCTCACCAGTGGCAGCTAATAGCAGTGGCAGTGGTGCTGCAAACCTGTTCTGGATTTTAGTCCCAGCCTTAAAGAAGCCATCCAAGGTGCTGAATGTAGATGGGGCTAGGGTTCAGCCATTTAGATAGCTCCTTTAAAATGTGGGCTAACCTTAGAGCAGATTCACCAGCCTGCTGCCAGGGACACCACTAATACCCATGGCTGGCACCACCATCATTCTTATAATCAGACTTTAACATTTTTAATAATAATAATAATAATAATAATAATAATAATAATAATTTATCCCCATGGATTGAGGCAGGGAACAACAACAATTAACAAATACATGGCATCCTTTAAAAACACTTTAGTTAAAACATACATCCATTTAAAAAGACAAATAAGGCATACATGTATTAAAACAATCCTCATTTAAAATTCACACTTTAAAAAATCATCTGAATAAGCCTGCTGGAAGATACTGAAGTACCACAGAAGACAGTCCCCATGGTGTAGTACTTTGAGTGGTGGACTAGGTCTCCAGGTGACCAGGGTTTAAATCACCACTTATCCCTGGAAATCCACTGTTATGACCTTGGACACACTCTCAGCCTCAAAGAAAGGTAAATCTCCTCTGCACAAATATTGCCAAGCAAACCCAGTGATGGGGTCATCTCAGGGTCTAAGATATGCTGTTGTTAGCTGCCTTGGAGTCAACATGAACTCATGGCAACCCTGTGAAGGAGACATTTCCAAAAACCCCCCCCCCCCATTCCTTTACCTCTCTGCTGAGGTCCTATAGGCTCAGACCCATGGTCTCCCTAATTGAGTCTATCCATCTTGCATGTGCTCCTCTATTTCTACTGCCCTCTACATTTCCCAGCATCATTTTCTAATGAGTCGTGCATTCTCAAAGGTCTAAAGTATAGATGACCACAAAGTACCCCAACGTATTAAATAATAATTATGGGGGGGGGGGGAACCTGTAAAACAAATCAAAGATCCTTAACAGCAACAGTGTTTTAGTGATAACAAAAAAAAAAAAATCAGAGGTTGTATATGTATACACACACACACAATTACTAATGACCCAATCAACCAAAGTGTAATGATACATTATATTCAACAACCAAGTCTCAAATTATCATGTTTCCAGCTGTACAAGGGGCAAGGGGCACTACAAAGAACAAAAGCAGAGTTCATAAATAACCTCTGAACATTAATAATGTGCGCTGGCATGTTTCAAATCAGCTCCAGGGCCACCATAAGTCATCTCAGGGTTGCCGTAAGTTGGAAAGAACATGAAGGCACACAACAACAACAACAAGTGCCACCGAAACAACTGAAATAGCGACAAGGCCCTGAGAATCAAAAGGTTGGGGGAAAAGGGATGAATTACTAGCACAACCTTCACATTTCAGGAAGGTAAGAATATGACTGTCAGACACTCTGAAGCAAAAGTGTGTCATCTTGCTTGCAGCAATCCACCCACGGAGGCCATCATAAAAGTAATTAAAATTTAACGACTCATGGTAAGGCTGCATTTACTAAATACAGAAGCCTCATTTCTCAACCAGAAAGCAATCTTTCTAAATAACCAGGAGGCCATTTTTAAGATCCCCCTCCTTCATCTGCAATGGATTAAATACCCCACTCTGTCTCTCTCTATCTATAGGGAACTGTTCCAAGCTATCAGTGCTAGCAATTCAGCGCTAAACTAGGATCCCTGCCATCATTTTACAGTCAACATTGATTAGAAAGATTAGACAATACTACAAACATAAGTCAGTATCTCTGGCACTATTCAAGGAACTATGTTGGCAAATTCACACATACGGGCTTCAGCACACAAGCAATCCAGAACAGCTTGTTCTCGGACCACAGAAAAGCAAGCATTTCTATTAGTCTGCTCCATCTGATGTTTCACATTTTTTAAAAAAATCTTTGAAATTATAGCATATTACAGAGGGTGCAATACATACAGAAAATAACATAGCCAATGCCAAATGGTCACTCTCTGCTCTATTACGTATAGCAAAAGAACAAGTCTTAGGGAGGAGTGATGATGACACCAAGAAATGATGGCTGACACTTGCACCGACTCCACTTACATGAAAGCTATATGATTTATCAAAACAATGCCATGAAGGCTATAAAGCCCAAATCTGAAGGCCAAATTCAGGACAGAGGTCCCTTGTTTATTCAGCACTTTGTCTAAAGAAGTCCAGGAAAGGTGCTATGAAAATTTGTTTGTTGTAGTGTGCCTTCAAGTCATTTCCAACTTATAGCAACCCCAACATAGGGTTGTCTTGGCAAGTTTATTCAGAGGAGGCTTGCCATTGCCATCCTCTGAGCCTGAGAGAGTGTGACTTACCCAAGGTCACCCAGTGGGTTTATTTGGCTGCGCTGGGATTTGAACCCTGGTCTCCAGAGTCATAATCCAGCACTCAAACCGCTACACCAGGGGTAGGCAACCTAAGGCCCGGGGGCCGGATGCGGCCCCCCGAGGCCTTTGGACCGGCCCCAGGCCAGTCCTGCCGCCGTTGCCGCCGCCGCCCCCCGCCGCCTGCCATGATGATATTGATTATTATTGTTATTACTTGATCTTGGGGTTTTCTTGCCAAAATCTCCACAAGGGTTTTGCCATGGCTTTTCTGGGGCTGAGAGAGTGTGCATGCATATTTTTTTAATTTTTAAATTTTTTTTAATTTTTAATTTTAATTTTTATTTATTTATTTATTTATTTATTTATTTATTTTTGGTGCTTCGGCCCCCCAATTGTCTGAGGGACAGCAAGCCGGCCCCAGGCTCAAAAAGGTTGCCTACCCCTGCGCTACACTATACTGGTCTGTAAGATTTACCTGTGTCTTTTTATAAAAATTATTTCTATCTGCATCAATCCTAGGGTTGAAATCACAGTTTGCATAAGCGACTACTAGACAATATGTTTCTTGAAAAGCATTAAGGGACTCAGAACTATGTTGGTGGTTTTCAAAATATGTCCAAGGGAGCTGTGAGATTCCTTCCCAAAAAGCTCACCAGGATTTCCATAATAACATTCTTAATAGGACACAGGTTTCCCTGATGGACAGCTAGCTTACCATTCCTCCTTACCTTCCACTACAATATGCAACTCACTGTGATCTACAGCAGGTTTTCAAACTATAGTGCTCCAAATTATAGGCTTCCAGATGTTTCAGACAGTAAGGTCAATTCTCAGGAATTCTGGGAATTGAAACTCAAATATCAGGATGATATGAGTTTGAGAATCACTGTTCTACAGCAGACATTCTTCTTATGAAAAGTAATACTGAAGGCCAGCAGCAAGGGTTGGCAACTTGTTGTCCTGCAGATGTGGCTCGGCCTCTACTCCAACAATCCCCTCATGCTGGTTAGGGCAGATGGGAGTCGCAGTCCAACATCACCTACAGGGCTCCAAGCTACTGATTCCTATCCCAGCTAAAGCTATAACACACTATAATTGTTTTTGTTGTTCCTCATAAAACCTAGGCTGCATCTCCACTGCAGAAATAATCCAGTTTGACACCACTTTAACCACCAATGGTATGGAATACTGGGACATGTTATTTGTTGTGGCACCAGAGCTCTCTGCCAGCAAAGGCTAAATGTCTCACAAAACTACAAATTCCAGAATTCTATTGCACTGAGCCATGGCAGTTAAAGTGGGTGCCAAACTGGATTATTTTTACAGTGTGGATGCAGCCCTAAAAGTGCCATAGTTGGCATGTAAAAAAAAAAGATGAATGACATGAGAACTTTGGAAAGCTAGACTAGAACACACACATCACACATATATGTTATCCTCCAGATATTTTTGGCCTCCATCAATTCAACCAGTAAGGACAATAGTGAGTATAATGGCAGTTTTACATCCAAAACATACGGAGGACCACAGTTGTCCACCTCGGAGACATATGATAACTTTTCCATATTTGAATGCTCTCAGACCTAGGGGTGGAGGGAGAAATTGCAGATATAAAAATATCAGGAAGAATCTAGGATGAATCCTTCAAACAGATTGGGACTTTGTCTGCAGAAAGTTTTCCAGTTTATTCCAAATCTAGCAAATTGTCCTTGGGCTCAACTGATACAGTCTTCAAGTACAACCATTCTGACAAAGGGCAATACAACCAATTCACTTTCTAGCTCAAATAAGACACTGTTGGTAGATATGTCAACATGCAAACATCAGTTGTGTAAATTAATATATCTGGGAACTTTCACATACATTGCTGGAATCACTCCAGAAATCCACAACCTCACTGCAGGCTTCAAGTGAAACCCACAAGAAGTTCCACGCTTGTAGTCTCTTGTACATATATACCCCAGTATTCCCTCTTTCACAACTGAAACTAGTCACCCATAACTCACCATAAAGCAAGTATGTCAAGAGCTATTATAGACCAAATTGTCATCCAGATCTGCCTGTGGGGACACACCACAAAAGACAAAAGAATTGGTTAGTGGAAGGTAAGGGCACCTTTGTGTGACTGTGAGAATCCATGCTTGAGGCAGTATACATTGCTGAATTCTGTGACAGCATTGATTTCTCAGCTACCGCAGTCACAGAAATATACTTCTTTCTATATCTGCCACATATAGATCAACTTAGATCAGCCACATTTTAAAATGAATTCCAGCTAATATCCCATGGTAGACAGCCAAGACACAAATGTTACCACCTCCATGAAACACTTTGGATTTTCAGTCATGCTTACGCATTCTTGATGCAGTTTGATCTCACCAAAATATTAGACAATAACTCATTCTGCTCTTTTCTGAACTCAGGTTAACACTTCAGCTGTGTTATTCCTTTCAGCAACCACTACAGCTTCTAAGGGCCTTTACAGACTGCCAGAAATAATGCAGCTTGAGTCCACTTTAACTGTCCTGGCTCAGTGCTAGGGAATCATGGGAAGTAGGTTATTATGGCCCCAGAGCTTTCTGACAGAGAAGGCTCATTGTCTCAGAAAAAAACTACAATTCACATGATTCCATAGCATTGAGCTAGGACAGTTAAAGTGGCCTCAAGATGGATTATTTCTGGAAGTCTGTATAGGCCCTAAGTTTCAGCCCATAAAAAACCTATATAATGCTTTGCTGCTTTTCTAGGGGGCATTTTATTTTTTTAATATTTAAAGTGAGTTTTAGTTACAATTGTCTGCATTGACAACAATACTCCAGTCCTTCTGTTGCATGTAACTGCAGTTCTAAACAAATTCACAACTTAGGCAAAAGAAAACAATCAGATGAATCTCACAAAGAAAGCCAATCTGAAGAAAAATTCAAATGTGCTGCTGATCGCATTGATTAAAAATTCTTGGAAAAGCTGATCTTGGCCTAATCCAGCATGCTTCTGCTCTTTCTCTACATTAGGCAACATCAATTCAGACAATCTGAACATTTCAAACAAAGACTTTTCAACAAAGACAATTAACAAATTTGATGAGAATCAATGTGTGGCAAGACAGAACAATTCACATGTATGTATGACTCAACTCTTACAAAGAGCTCCCTTGGAGTCCTTAGACAACAACTATGTGACACACACAGTTTATTGTGAAGATGCATCTTAGATCACATATTTTTTTCAAGAAGCTTAAAGTGACACATACAGGCTTTTTTAAAAAAATAGATCAATAAGAATAATTTAAAGAACAAATCAAGAAGTTTTAATGGAGAAGAGCCAAAGGGCAAATCTGCACTAGTGGTACATATACATACTTGGAGGGAAAAGGTTTCTTGGCATCTCATGTTTTAAAATTTCCAATCCTATTGTTGGACAGATGGATAAGGTTTAAAGGACAGTTGGCCCTCCATATCCGTGGAAGTTTTTATCCACAGATTTAACTATCCACAACTTGAAAATATTCCAAAAATATATAAATTCTAAAAAGCAAACCTTGATTTTTCTATTTTATATAAGAGACACCATTTTACTAGGCCACTGTATATAAGGGGTCTTGAGCATCCACAGATTTTGGTAACCATGCTGGAACCAAACCCCAGCAGATACCAAGGGCCCACTGTATTGTATAAGGAAGACTTGAAATATTCTTACAAAAGTGGAGAGCTTTCTGTCCTCCAGATCTTTTGAGCTTGGTGTTGCTGTTGTTGTGTGCCTTCAAGTCCTTTCAGACTTATGGCAACCCTAAGGCGACCCTATCATGGGGTTCCCTTGGCAAGATTTGTTCAGAAGAGTTTGGGCCTTTGCCTTCCTCTGAGGCTGAAAGAGTGACTTGTGAGCATGTCCAACATCACCATCACTCAGTGGGTTTTCATGGCTGAGTATAGAGATTCAAACCATGGTTTTCAACATCATATTCCAATGCTCAGGCCACTTACACCACACTGGCTCTCTTTTGGACTACAGCTCCCAAAATCCCTTCCCCATGGGCCATGTTACCCTGGAGTGATGATCCACAAAATGAAAACCAAAAGCTAAAAGTTCCCCATCCCTGATCTAAAGTATTTCCTCATGCAATGCAGTTTCCTTCAGAGGCAAGGGAACAGGAGCCACAACTCATCACAAGAAAACACTTTCCACTATGCGTGGCCATGGCTGGAAATGCCTCCGCAGCCCATAGCTGTAAAATGCAGATAGAGCTAACATAGGTATTTTTAAAACTACAACAACAATACGGTGCGTGAAGAAGTGCCTGCAACAAATCAAGATGAAAGGATGTGG